GTATTCTAAATTGGGAAACCGATGAAGAGAATATGTGGATAGTGTTAAATTTCAATAACAACCATTTCACAAAAACTATTTGACTTTGTGTAGTTTATTTACCTCCACCAGTTAAACCAGAAAATCTAAACAAGTGTTTAGATAGCATGGATAATGTTACCAACCACGTTGATGATTTTGTTGTTATAGGTGACTTTAATATGGGTTTTATTGAGTGGTCTGCTAGTGAAAAATATTCATATATGACTCCATGTAATTATAGTAATGCTCTAGGATACTCATTAGTTGACTTCATGTCCATTAATAATTTATATCAATATATGCTGCTGCATAAGTAACTGTGATGATAAGCTTTTGGACTTGGTGCTAAGTAATTTAACAAACATTATAATTAAAAAGCTGCCTGAAATACTTAGTAAACTGGATTCGTAACAACCTAGTTTGTTAATAAGTATAGAATACGGTCATATTCCTTCCTTCGTTCCAAAATTCGTATGGACTACAGATACTTTAAAGCTGATTATAAAACTATTGTTGAGAAAATTAAAAATATTGATTGGTTGCATGAATTTTCTGTACGCAAAGATGTCGATGTTATGATTGAAGTATTTTATAATCGTCTCTATGAAGCTATCGATTTACAGACTATTTTCGCAAAACATCCTGTTTCAAACGTAGTTTGGTTAAATTATTATCTGAGAAAGATAAAATTCGCAGAAAATATCACAAATACAATAACCCTAGATATAATATAGAATTTCAAATAATTCGCATTCATTGTCACAAACTCTTTGTTTAATGCTTTAACGATTTTAAATACAATGCAGAGTCTGATATTTCAAAAAACCCAAAACACTTCTGGAAATACTTTAAACATAAAAAGGAAGGTGAGTCATCTCTACCCTCGTCCATGAAATTGGACAACCAAGTTGCAAAGACCTGAATGGAAATAGCCAATCTTTTTGTATACCATTTCTCATCCATTTACACCGAAAGAACTAATATCATGACGGCAAACTTAAAAGAAAAAGCAATGTTACATAATTAAGTTGAAGATTTTTGAAACAGATGTCTTAAAAATAATTAAAACTTTAGATACTCAAAAAGGTGCTGGTCTAGATAGTATCCCTCCCATTTTTGTAAAACGTTGTGGTCCAAAAATTGCTTTTCCATTGAATCTTATTTTTATTCGTACCCTAGAAGGTGGTATGTTCCCTGAGGAATGGAAAAAAGCACGAATAGTTCCAGTCGTTAAAAAGGGTAATCGCATGCATATAAAAAATTATCGCCCTATATCAATTCTTTCTTGCTTTTCCAAACTATTTGAAAGTCTTGTGTACCCAGCTTTTGCCAAGCACTTTGATCATTTTCTTACCAGTTCGCAGCATGGATTCAGAAGTGGATTGTCAGTACAAACTAATTTGTGCAATTTTAATTCTGATGTTATAAAAGAAGTAGTTAGGGGTAGGAGATCGACGTCATATATACGGACTTAAGCAGCGCATTCGACAAGGTTGACCACAAGCAACTCATGGTATTGGTATAGATCCCAAATTGTTGTTGTCAATGGTTTCAAGGTTCGCATATAGACCCTCTATTATTCTTGGCTTTTATTAACGACATCACCACAGAAATCAAAAATTGTCGTTGCTCGTTATTTGCTGATGATTTAAAAATTTATAAACCCGTAAAATCAGTAGAAGATATAATACAGGTGATTTGAATAGAATATGTCATTGGTGTGAGGTCAATAGTATGACTCTTAATGCTAACAAATGCTTCCACGTAAAATATACAAAAAAGAAACCACTTGTTTCTCAATTGGTAATGTAGTTTTGTAAGAGTTACAGGAGTATAAAGACTTAGGAGTAACTATTGACAGAAAGCTAACCTTTAAATCTCATATAAACATTATTGTTAATAAAGCCGCGAAGTTTTTAGGATTTATTAAACGCAATACAGGTTTTCTTCTAGGACTAAAATTATTTTATATAATGCTTTTGTAAGAAGTCACCTTGAATTCGCTAGTGTCATATGGAATCCATCTCTTAGTGTGCAGTCCCAACGCGACTCACTCGACATCTTGCCTTTCATGCCAGTGGTATCTCACATAGACAGCCCCACTATCAGCGACTGGCTAATTTTAAGATAATGTCTCTCCGAAATAGACGAGACATACTAGATCTGAGTTTTCTACATAAAATAGTTTACAATAAAGTAAAGTGCAGTGACCTTCTTGACCGCATATTGTTAGCTGCTCCGCGTAAATATCCTCGTTGTCGCATCTTAAAAACATTTTATATTCCTTTCGCGAAAACTCATCTCGGGAATCATGCTCCTATTGTTCGTATATGTGGCAAATATAACGAAATAACTAAAACCATACCTAGCATCGATATATTTCACGACTCTTTTAAGACTTTCAAAATTAAACTTACAAATCATTTATCGCCTAGTTCCTGTTAAAATTATATTTTGAATTTTGAATAGAATCTGTTTTATATTTAAATTAAAAATGTGCATACTTTTAAAGAGAGTACAATATCTACCATTTTCTTTCCCAATAATTGAACCTGATTTTTTTTTCAATTGATTTTTTTACCTATTTAATCACATAATTTACTTAAAATATTTCTCATTTTATTGCATTGATTGGATGTTCTTCTTACTCCAAATTAATTCCAAATTAATTTGCACGACTCAATCTGTAAATGTTATGTACACTTGTAATTGATATGCATATCAGAAAATATAAAAGTGTGTATGTTTTTGTGACAATGTCATATATGTATATTGTAAGTGTACTTGTAAAATAAATAAATAAATAAATGAAAAAATATACAGCCGAAGGTCGTGTGTAAGATCTCTCTCTGATAGTGAGTTTATAGAGAGTGCACCTGTGCATGCGCATACATACACACGGGCACTATATCATACTGTCCTGTCCTGTGTATACTGTCCTGAGTAGATAGCTAATCTCCGTTGTGACTGGCCGCTGTGTCCGAAAGTCGGTCTAGAGGATATTTATGATTTTTTCTTGTAGTAGGAAGCTTATTACCACTAAGCCTCATGGTGATTGCCACCACGGCCAGGGCGACCAAGGATCCCATAACGACGCGGTGTGTTCCCGCGTACAACATGCGAGCGGTCAGAGAGGCACGAGCTCCGTCAATGAAGAACAAACGCCCCGTCAGGAACAGACAGCCAATAGCTGGTATTATAAGCCAGCATAGTCCCCCCCATTTCTGTAATAGTAATATGTACATCAAATAACAGTATTTTTTTAAGAAATATTTTGTAAAGTTATTTGAATGTAAGCTGTAACTTTTAAAAGTTATTATATTTTAAATAATTAAGCAAAAACATCTGAGTATAGAAATTCAACGAGGAAACACAACTAGAATTCTTGGCACTATATCGCGGGGAGTAGGACTGTATGATAATTTAAGTTTTTAGTTTTAGTTTTATTTTGTCATAATTTTTAATATTATATATATTTAAATGTAATGTAAGTGTAATGTTACGCTCACAGCCTGTTAAAGTCCACAGTTGAACATAGGCCTCCCTCATAGATTGCCTCATAGGGGGATGTTTGCCATAGTTGCCACCCTTGGCAAGCGGGTTGGCAACTGCAGTTTTTTTTATTTTTAGTTGTTATCAGCAAGACGTTGCCGCCCATATCCTGATTTTTTCCCTCCGTTGCCTCTTACTATACCCACAGAATGATATGGGTTAGTGGATATTCTTACACCACCTTAATGCAAAAATTGTTTAATTAGGGTTGTTATACTACTAATTACATGATTGATAATAACCCCTGCTTAGGTGATGGTCACCTTACTGTTTCTAAATGTTTCATTTAATTGTACTACACTACCTATATTATAAATTAATGTTTAGAAAAGTCCCGCTGGGTTTCTTACTGATTTCTTCCAGCACAGAGCTTTTCTCTAAATCAGTGTTAAAAACATTAACAAGTTGCAATAAGTACTATTTTAATGTATATTGAATAAAAATTATTAAGTTCTATGCTACTCTATTGTATTTTAGTTATTTTAGTGAAGTGGGTTTCGTAAGTAACCCTTTTCTGCCTAGGAGTCCAGTGGGTTAGAGCCAGTATAGTTGTACAGGTTGTGAGGCATTCCATCTTGGTCCTCAGAGATGACAACAATTTTTTGTTTGAAACTAGTGTAAGTATCCACGGACTCTACCCACCCGAACGGGCTCCCGCCTTCTCGTGGCGAGGGGGCTGAGTAGCCGGGCTTGGTCACCCTTAGTGAAGTGTCTTAGAGAAGTGGAGTCGCGGGGGAGGAGGAGTGTTGGTATGGCGATGCGCCACTTCCGTATCCTCCGTTGAATGGGCCGCGAGGGGAGGAGTGACGGTTATAGCTGCCGCTCTCCCTACCCTCCGCGGATGAAATTTGGTTCCCATAGGAGTTATAGACTTGGTACGCCGCTGGGGTCAGAAAAGTTGGTTCTTCCGAGTGCTCGTTTTTCCTAGTGCGCCTTACGTAAGAATAAGAAGAAGGAGGAGAAGTCCTCCCCGAGGAGGGACGTCGCTGGGCCCGTGGATGTGTGCGGAATCGTTCCCGTGGCCCTGCTAATATGCGACGAAGGTGGAACACCATGGGGTTTAGTCGGTGCGAGTCCGACATAGGCCTTGCCCCCGCGAGGCAGGTATGCATAGGCGTTTCTCCATGTAAAAAATGTGTCCATAGTAAGTGTGTAAAGTAGCTACATACCATCAGGTGAACATTAAGTTCGTTTGTCATTCCCGTTTAGTAAAAAAATAAATAAAATCAATAACATAACTCAACGTCTCCGTGGCGCAGTGGCTTAGCAATGAGTTGCGGATTTGAATGCACAAGCAAGCATTTGTATGGCCTACAAATAATTGTTCTTGTTTATCTATGTAAACTGCCCCCACAATACAAGAGAAAATCCTAGTGTGGAGGTAAAGTTTTTACAAAAGAAGAAACTGTTACTTTCAACTGCAAATTTTATGATAAACTTAACTTATATTTATATAAATCCACATTTTTCTTCTGCCAATGGTAAACAAGAGTGCCAGTACCGAGGCCGATGACGTAACACGTCAGATTGTTGTGACCGAGGACGTGCAGGTAGTGAAAAGTACTGTCGAACCATCTACGGTAAAATCTTAAAACAGAAACAAGTAAATTAATATTAAAAATCCATTATCCATTACAGCCTCTAAAAGTCCACTGATGAACATAGGCCTCCCCCATAGATTGCCTCATTGAGGGTATATTTGCCATAGATTTTCAACCGCAGTTTTTTTTATCTTACGACACCCACGGGGTGATATGGAGTAGTGGATGTTCTTACATCGCCACTATACGGATATTATTACAAAAATTAGAGTTCAAATAAACTTTGACAACATGCATTATGTGCTGTTATAATCCTAGTGAGAATACAAGGTTATATTCATGAAATTATATAATCACATATGCCATATCGTAAAAGGCGAGAGAGGAATTAATCGGAAGAAGGGCAACAGCATATTCACGATAAGAACTCAACATAATAATAAAAAACACATGTGGCCAACCCGCCTGCCAAGCGTGCCAACGATAGCAAATATCCCCCTATGAGGCAACCTATGGGGACACCTGAGTGCATCCGTCTATCATCATCATCATTACAGCCCTTCACATGTTCACTGCTGGACATAGGACTCCCCCAAGGAATGCCACAAAGCACGGCCCCGTGCCACCTGCCTCTATTGACTTCTTGCATGTCTTATGAGGTCGTAACTCATCTAGTGGGGACCCTACACCTCGCCTGCCGATATGAGGCTGCCACTCAAGAACCTTTCTTACCCATCGGATGATGGTTCTTCGAGCAATATGGCCGGCCCATTGCCCTTACTAATCCGTTGGGCTATGTCGGTTACTCTGGTTCTACTGCGGATATCCTCGTTTTTAAGTCTATCATGCAGAGAAAACCCAAGCATAGCACACTTCATAGCTTGCTGGGCGACCTTGAGTTTTCTTATTAGGTAAAGTACCACGTCTCAAAACCCCAGGTCATCATTGGCAACAAGCATTAACTGTACAGTCTAGTTTTGAGGTATGCCTGGAGAGAAGATGTGTCGTAATCTCCCGAACTCTGCCCAACCGAACTGAATCCGTCGATTGACCTCTCGGTCAAAGTTGGACTTACCTAGTCGGACTATTTGTCCCAGGTAAACATACTCGTCAACAACTTCGAGCTTAGTGTTCCCAACAACTACCGGCATAGGTGTGACATGGATATTAAACATGATCTTTGTTTTGTTCATGTTCATCTAAAGACCTATCCGTTGGGAAACACTATCGAGTGCCATAAGGACTATATCGTCGGCAAATCGAAGGTGAGTAATGTACTCGCCATTGATGTTGATACCGTATCCTTTCCAGTGCAGAAGCTTGAAAACATCTTCCAATGCAGCGGTAAAGAGTTTCGGGGATATGACGTCACCCTGTCTTACACCTCTCTGCAATTGGATAGGTTTCGTACTCTGGTTCTGTACTCGGATAGCCATCGTAGCCCTACTGTACAAGCACTTCAACACTTCGATATACTGACAGTCAACTTGGCATCGCTGAAGGGAGTGCAGCACCGCCCAAACTTTGACGGAATCAAAGGCTTTCTCATAGTCCACATACGCCAGACATAGTGGCAAATTGTACTCCTCGAACTTCTGTACAATTTGCCGAAGGGTATGTATGTGGTCTATGGTACTAAAGCCTTTTCGGAAAGCGGCTTGTACAGGAGGCTTGAAGTCGTCAAGTCTGCGCGCGAGACGATTCGTAATGACTCTCGAAAATAGCACGTAGACGCAGCTCAGAAGGGAAATCGGTCTATAGTTCTTTACGACAGCTTTTTCGCCTTTCTTGAAAAACAAGACCACCGCACTTCTGCTCCACGCCTCCGGTGTAATGCCACCATGGAGGACGGAATTAAAGAGCTTCTGAAGGACTTCAAGTACCGGTCTTCCACCCGCTTTCAGAAGCTCCGCTGTAATTCCATCCTGGCCTGGGGCTTTGCCGTTTTTAAGGTGCTGGAGAGCCATTCTAATCTCGCTCAGACTGACGTCCGGGATATCATCGGAATAATGTCGAATAAGACTCGCTCTTGGATCGTTACTCACACTTGCGTGCAGCTCCAACGATGACGTCTACAGCTGCCCATAGAACCTCTCAATCTCACTCAAAATCTCAGGTGCTCCGGAAACGATGCTGCCACATTCGGTCTTCAGCTTTGACAGTTGGCTCTTTCTGGCAGACAGATCTCTGGCCAAGACTTTGGAGCCTTGGTTCCGCTCGATCGCTTCTTCAATACGAGCTGTATTGAAGTTGCGTAAGTCCCGCCGCATGCATTTGGAGATCTGTCTGTTAAGATGCCTGTATGCTGTCAAGTCTGTTGAAGAATGTAGCTTCATGTTCCGTCTAACAGCCATGCGATTAGGAGTGTGATCGGAGAGTTTTTGTGTTCTTCTGCGGCGGGTTTTGCAGAACTTAGCTTCGACCGCATGGACAGTTTCCACGAGCTTGTCATTCAAATCGTCTACTTCATTGCAGTCTTCTAGGCACTGAAAACGGTTTTGTAACTCGAGCTGAAAGGTTTCGGGACTTTGGATTAGGGCACGAGGGGGACGGAGCGTTGACTTCATTAGACGAGACCTCTCCAACTTAACGTTTAGGTTCAGTGTGCCTCTAACCATTCGGTGGTCGCTGCCGGTTTTCACCCTCGCGATCACTGAGATATCACTGAATAGTTGTCGTCTGGTCGTCATAATGAAGTCAATCTCATTTTTTGTCGAACCGTCGGGGCTCGACCAGGTCCACTTCTTGTGGGGCCGCTTCTGGAAGAAAGAGTTCATCATAAAGAGTCCCTCTTTCTCCATGAAGTCGGCCAGCTGCTGGCCCCTTGGGTTCCGTTGCCCTATTCCAAATTTCCCTACTTTCAGCTCACCGTTCTCTCTTGTGTCTAGTTTTGCATTGAAGTCTCCCATTAATACCGTATATTGGATTTTGGAGGAATGCATGGCTCTAGAGATATCCTCATACATTTCATCCACCTCCTGATCGGGGTGTGCCGAGGTTGGTGCATAAACCTGTATGACCTTCAGCGAATACCGTTTGGTGATTCTGAGTATAAGGTACGCAACCCTCGTCGACACACTCTCAATCTTTACAACGTTGTTAACGAGAGACTTGTGGACGATAAATCCGACACCTCCTTGGGACAGATGGTCGCCCTCCCGGTAATAGAGCAAGTTGCCGGACTCGAGGATTACCGTGTCCTCCCCCTCGCTTCGGACTTCGGATAATCCTATAATATGCCAGCGTAACTTGTCTATCTCTTCTTCCAGTTCCATAATCTTCTCGTCAGTCCTCAGGGTGCGTGCGTTGTATGTTGCCAGGTCAAGTCGTCGTAGGTGGCAACCGAACCTCCACCGGAGATTCTTAGCACCCCCTGCCTCGCCGTTACCATGGTCGCCACCGTAGCCAGGAATAGCGGGGCCGCCGGGGACTGGGGCCGTCTCTTCGTAACTTTCATCATGGGGGGTATATTGCCATAGTTGCCACGCTTGGCGAGCGGGTTGGCAACCGCAGTTTTTCATTGTATTTTTGCCGTTACCAGGAAGATGCTGCTGCCCATCCCCTGCCTGTTTCCCTTTGTCGCCTTTTACGACACCCACGGGAAGATATGGGGTAGTGGATATTCTTAACCGCCACTACACGGCAACCCATACCCCATCCGTCTATGAAATTAAAAAAAATATTGAATACATGTATGTACATGTACAAATACAGGGTCGTTAAATGAAATCAAATATATTCATGTAGACTTAAAACAAAGCACACATTAAAATAGCTACGACGAAATACGTCTTTGGCGAATTTATGTTCAGTAAATAACAATATAACATATTAAATTTTCCAGCATGTAAATGAGATTGTATGTGCGTTAAACTGAAAGACATTAAGACTAAGCATCTCTATTTACAAGGCAGTCATTGACTGTGTAATATGTTTTCTTTATGAGTGATTCTTATATGTATTTTTTTTAATATAATATTTAAAGGTAAGCTTACTTTCTCTTTGAATATCTTATTGAAAAAACGTAAACATTATCCTTCAAAGGAGTTCCTTGCCTTCTTCAGTCTTTAGGAAGATACCATATATCTTTGCTTATTTCTATTGTACACGTAGTTCAAGACGGGCTACCGACGGACCGGAAGGGAGTAGCCATAGCGTTTTCCCCGTTTCAGAACTGTCTGTCATGTTTGGCGGAGGGAAATCCGCGCACACGAAAACAATCGTCTGTTACTACGAAACTTACAAATGGAAATTAAAACAATAAACTAACAATTTCACACACACATATACATTACAACAGTATCGCTCGGTGACAGCGACAATTTCGATACAGACTCGGATCAGTCGCTTGAATAATCTGCATATTTTATAAGTGCAAGCGGCCTGAGTTGATAAACAATTCCGAAACAACATGACTGTAATTTTTAAGTTTAAAAGGTAACGCCATCTTTTTGTAAATTTAACGTGGCTGATCTCTTTTTGTAGCAAAAGAATTTAACAATTAAGTATTTTTGTAGGACGTCGATTCAGCCACGCAACTAGATTTAGTCTAGTGAGCAGTGCGGCTGTAACTAGTTTTATTGTACGCATAGGATCACGTGGACATACATATATTTGACAGAGGGAAATGCCTGCGTATGGCTGCTCTCCTACGATCCGCCGGTTCTCTGAGTTGATCAATGAGTGTTGATTTTATGAATGGAACTTTTTATTCTAACTAATAAAATTATTATAAATCGCTTACTCAGGCGACATCAGAACCAACGCGTCCAAGTCCTGCAGCCACACGTGCAGAGCCGGCGCTGTCATTCCCACAAGCAATAACAGCGTTAGTGCCAACCACCTGCCACTTGACTCCGTTGCCGAGTACACAAACATTCCTATCACAAAGAGTTGGGTGTCGGCTGCCACGTGCCTGGAAAATCACGATTAGACGTGTCTATATAAATAAAGAAAAATCTTTTTGCTGGCCTTTATTTTTTTGTTATGTATCCATGTTTTGTTAGTACAGTACCTAAAATATTTTTTTTTGTTCGAGCAGCTATGCAGGTCTTGGAAGACCAGTATCACTGCGACCTATAAAATCTATTGTGATCGCTGCTATGGCTATAGTTCACTGCTAAGCGCTATGAATTGAATTATCTTTAATGAATAGAAGGATTTGCTTGGCTGTGAGCATTTCACTTCTTCTGAGTTAAGTACAAAGTTTCCCAGACGAGTGTTACGTTTGCGCATTAAGGGTCCACAATCAGTTAGGACGTGCAGAGGTGTTGCTTCCGTTAAAGAGCAGAATCGCCACGTCCTTGAGTTGCTTAACTCAGCACTGTTGAGGTCATTGAGCATAGTGCTCAATGATCTCAGCAGTGTCTCCCAACAGGTAGGTCTTAAGATGAACATGGACAAAAGAAAGTTCACGTTTAATGTCCATGTTACAGCCGGTAGTAGTTGCGAGCATTACGCTCGAAGTTGTTGACGAGTATGTTTACCTGGGACAAATAGTCTGACTAGGCAAGTTCAACTTCGACCGAGAGGCAGCTCTCGGAAAATTACGAAACATCTTCTCGTCAGGCACACCTCAAAACTTCAAAACAAGATTGTACAACCAGTGCGTCTTGCCAGTGATGACTTATGGAGCTGAGATCTTTTCACTGCTGGCCATATGAGGAAGCTCAAGGTCATTCAGCAAGCTCTGTAGAGGGCTATGCTCCGAGTTTCTTTGTATGTAAGACTTATAAATGATGATATCCGCAGGAGAACCAGAGTAACCGACATAGCCTAACGGATTAGTAAGCTGAAGTGGCAATGGGCCGGTCACAGCTAGAAGAACGGACAACCGATTAAAAAGAAAGGCTTTTGAGTGGCAGCCTCGTACCTGTAGACGAAGTGTAGGGCGTCCCCCATTAGATGGAGTGACGATCTGGTAAGACATGCAGGAAGTCGATGGATGCAGGTGACTCGGGACTGTGCTTTATGGCATTCCTTGGGGGAGGCCTATGTTCAGCAGTGGACTTGTGAAGGGCTGTAATGAATGAATGAACGAATGAACTGCTCTTAACATGCGCATTACAAATCAGCTTTTATTTCTTTTGTCTTTTCATTTTGATTAACATATTTTTTGTTTAATTTGTTTAACATTTTCCAAAACAATGCATGCTGCCTATTGTAGCAGTTAACTATGTACAATTTATTACTGTAACGTAACCGACAGCTCCGTGGCGCAGTCGCTTAGCAATGAGTTGCAGGGCTAGAGACTGCGGGGTCAAATCCCGCACAGAACAAGTATTTGTATGGCCTACGAATAATTGTTCCGTGTCTGGATATTTGTCCTAGTGAAATTTATGAATATAAACTGTACAGGACTTAGAGGAGTTTACCTAAAAATAAAAATAAAATGTTTCTTATGTTGGCAATCCGAATATATTAATAAAAACAAATTATTTACCAGGTCTGTGCGGCGCATAGTGTATCGTCTGAACAATAGTTATTGAGGTAGAGGACATGTAACCACCAATAGCTCCGGCAGTCAGCCACCACGGAGTTGGTGACGTAAAGCTTCCATAGCGGACCAGATCCCATGTGCCGAAGCCAGGTGGCTGAGAACGCGATCATCGCTGCGTTGGCTGGGGTCAATCTAAAAACATTGTTATATAATGATTTCTTATATCACGTGGTAAATCTTGTTGTAGCACGAATATTGGCTCTACCGGGGAAGGATCACAGTCCATCTTAATCCTCATTCATTCTCCATTGAGCACAGTATTCACTAACCATCAGGTGGACTATGTGCTCGTTTGTCACCTTTATTCTATAAAAAAAAACAGTAGTGAGTCTGGGTGTTTTACGCCTGGCGTAAACGCGATGATGATACCGCCATGTATTAGAAGCTGTAAAATTTTTTTGGCATACCCCACAGTTGCCTCTTACAACACCCACGGCGACGGATTCGTTTACGCCGTCAATGCAAATACTCCAGCCTTCTTCTTCCTTACCATCTTCTTTGTTAGCCGTTAATATTCTACTACTGGTCATAGGATCATTTAATGTAGGATTTGATAGAATTGTCGCAATTGGCAGACTAAATACTGATCGCAGTATCATATGTGGCGCTGCTTACAGTCGCAGTGATTTTACATCGATTCAAAAAATACCAGATTTTTAAACCACCATCTATCAGAGGTAGTGATCGTGAGCAAGAACAACTCATATAAATTTTGACTCTTAACCGATGATATGTGTAGATGTCTATGGATTACAACATCCACTTACCATCAGGTGGACTGTGTGCTCGCTTGTCACCCTATTCTATAAAAAAGGTGTTTTAATTTTATAAATCGATAATTCTTACCTGCACCATCTTGTGAAAAACAGCTTTGGAAGCTGTGACCACTCAAGTGGCTTTGTCTCGGACCGTATCTGTATGTTGTACGCCTGCAGAAACGCCGCCATTACGAAGAAAATCTGCACGATCATCAGCCCGTTGTATATTAGGTGAAAATGGAACGTCTCGTACGTCTGTAAAGTATAAAGTTCTTATAACACCTGATTGTTTTATTTTGTTATTGTTGGTTTTTAGCAGATTTAAAAAAATAGTAGGAAGTTCACAATGCAACTGTACGCGAAATCTTCGTCAATTGTGGACCATTTTGATGTTTCTTTTTTTGGAGAAATCGTTGTGATTTGAAACTCGATGTAACGAAAAAGCGACACTAAAACGAAATATCTACAGGATTTAGTCTGATAATAAATGAATGAATGCGATAGAATACAGTGTAGTTAACAACAGTAGCCTAATGGCAGGGTACGGACCGCGAACTCAAAAGGTTGTAGGTTCGAATCCACAATTCGACTACTGTTGTTAACCGCTCCTAACACAAGCATTTTCAACTCACCAGTGGTGGTTAAAGGGAATATTAGTAATGTTAATAGCATTGCAAGTATTTTTTTTAAATACACGCTGTATTTTACTACACAACTACAACGTGCAGCAACAATGGTGACTTTAATTTAACACACATATTAACATTTTCATTTCATGAAGAAATTATATTTTCATTAAACGTTGTTATTTACGGATTTATTTATAATTTTGGAATAGCATCTTAGAGCAACCTGTACTTAGAGAACTGTCGCGCAGCGGTCATTTGCCGGGGTCACGAGTCATAACATCGCATCATTGAAATTAAAACGAATAAGCAATACTATTGAAGGACAGAGACAGCCCTTTGTCGGCAAGCGGGCGGCGCAGGCACAGTATCTATATATTTACTGTGGCGCAGGCGACGCGTGCCCTCCCAGCCCGCTGCACCGAAATCGAATTAATTTTTTTGCTTTTCTATTTTCTAGTGCTAGCGGAACCCGTGTCCTTGACACACTTCTTCACAGTAGTGAAGAAAGACGCTTACCTATTGTTTTATTTATTAATGTTTGTGTAATTAGGATAGTAATTAGATTATGGTACTGCGATAAAGACTCTTTGTTTTGTTTTCGTTTTCTAACCTAGTAGGTACGTTTACGTCTCTTGCTATACGGACGCTTTTATTTGTGATATTAGTGCTTGTATAAACTTGTGATCGTAATGGAAAGTACATATCCGAACTACACAGTAGCTGAATATGCGGACATGATCCTTATTTACGGAGAATGTCGTCATATGTGTATTCCATAAACACCTCTCATTAGAAGATGGGGCATTTCACGTCAAGCGGACAAGGAAAAAAGTGAGGTTCTGAAATTTGTTCATATGAGGTCCAGTTATATTTCTAGGAAATGTAAATACGAACAAATTTTTTTGCATAGCATGTGTATTTGTTTAGTTATGGGCTCCTAAAGAATCGCCTAAATAGAAATTAGGATTTTGTATGAAGAATTTTTTCCCGTTGAAAACAATTACAATACATTTTCAAACTACGCGATCATTGTATACAAAATTTCCTGGTCTTTCTAAAAAAGGAATCAAATTTGAAAATAAAATTTTTATTAGTCTTATAAACCGGAAGTAAACAAGTCATAACAAAATTTTGGAACCTTCGACCATTTTTCTTTTAATTTTCTTATTTCAAAACATAGCTTAGAGTATCTAAATAATACACCAGAAGTTTTGAAATAGGATCTGTATTAGTTAAGGAGATAGGTAAATTAATGTATGTACATGTAACAGTCAGTATAATGTTAGGCGCTTGTTTATGTTGGTTAATATGCGAATTATGGAATTAAAACGCGATAGTATTAACTTTTTATGTTTGTTGAAGCTTGAACAATAATTAGGGGTAGTTATTTAAAAATAAATAATATCAAGATGTTGATAAAAACATTTGAATAGCCACAGATATTAAGAGAAAGAAGTAAAAGATAATTTTATCTTTAGCTTATCAAAGAGTTTACTCTTCATTTCTTAAAGGATTAATTACTTAATTACCAATTGTTTTATTATTTTAATTTATTTACATATTCATCATCTTCATATTAATTAATATTGAAGTTCAATTTCCACCCCCTAAGAATTTTTAAAACTGAAGTATGTAAAAAACTCTTTAATAGTTATTTATGATTAAAGTATTACATCTGATCAAACGTCCGTCCTCCATGGTGGCACTACTCCGGAGGCGTGGAGCAGAAGTGCGGTGGTCTTGTTCTTCAAGAAAGGCGACAACGCTTTCTTGAAGAACTACAGACCGATTTCCCTTCTGAGCCGCGTCTACGTGCTGTTTTCGAGAGTCATTAGGTATCGTCTCGCACGCAGACTTGAAGACTTCCAGCCTTCCGAACAAGCCGGTTTCCAAAAAGGCTTTAGTACCATAGACCACTTACACACCGTTTGGCAAATTGTACAGAAGACAGAAGAGTACAGTCTGCCACTTTGCCTTGCGTATATGGACTATGAGAAAGATTTGATTCCGTCGAAATTTGGGCGGTGCTGCAGTCCCTTAAGCGGTGCCAAGTTGACTGTCGGTATATCGAAGTGCTGAAGTGTTTTTTACAGTAGAGCTACGATGGCTATCCGAGTACAGAACCAGAGTACGAAACCTATCCAACTGCAAAGAGGTGTAAGACAGGGTGACGTTATATCCCCGAAACTCTTCACCGCTGCATTGGAAGACGTTTTCAAGCTACTGGACAGGAAAGGATACGGTATTAACATCAATGGCGAGTACATCACTCACCTTCGATTTTCCGACGATATAGTTCTTATGGCAGAATCGCTGGAGGACCTAAGCACTATGCTCAATGACCTCAATAGTGTCTCCCAGCGGATAGGTCTTAAGATGAACATGGACAAAACAAAAGTTATGTTTAACGTCCATGTCACACCTATACCGGTAGTTGTTGGGAGCACGAAGCTCGAAGTTGTTGACGAGTATGTTTACCTGGGACAAATAGTCTGACAAGGTAAGTCCAATTTCGACCGAGAGGTCAATCGACGCTTTCAACTCGGCTGGGCAGCGTTCGGGAAACTACGACACATCTTCTCGTTAAACATACCTCAAAACCTGAAAACGAAATTGTACAACCAGTGCGTGTTGCCAGTGATGACTTACGGATCTGAGACGTGGTCCTTCACTGCTGGCCATATGAGAAATCTCAAGATCGCTCAGCGAGCTATGGAGAGGCCTATGCTCGGGGTGTCTCTGCGTGATAAACTTAGAATGAGGATATCCGCAGTAGAACCAGAGTAACCTACATAGCCCAACGGATTAGTAAGCTGAAGTGGCAGTGGGCTGGCCATATAGCTCGAAGAACCGACAACCGATGGGGAAGAAAGGTTCTCGAGTGGCAGCCTCGTACCGGCAGGCGAAGTGTAGGGTGACCCCCCACTAGATGGAGTGACGACCTGGTGAGACATGCCGGAAGTGGATGGATGCAGGTGGCTCAGGACTGTGCTTTGTGGCATTCCTTGGAGGACGCCTATGTTCAGCAGTGGACTTGTGAAGGGCTGTAATGATGATGATGATGATGATGATCTGATCAAATACATGCACATGCACATGCAACACACACGCGCACGCACACGCACTCGCACACGCACACACACACGAACACGCACACGCATATCCTCACGCACACGCACGCACACACACACACGAACACGCACACGCACGCACAAATTCACACACACACACACACACACACACACACACACACACACACACACACACACTCATACGCACATGCACACTCACATGCACACTCACATGCACATGCACATGCACACTTACACGCACACGCACACTCACACTCACACTCACACGCACACGCAATAGCACACGCACATGCACACGCACACACACACCGAGAAAGAAGCGTCCCTCTTTCTTTTTAATTATGTATAGATAATATAGAGGAAACTGTAATAAGGCTTTACCTTTTCGAAGTCATGCGGCGAGTCGATAAAGCCCATCGAATTAATAAATATGACGTGAGCTATTATTGTAAGGGTAGTCGCAATAGATCTGAAAGTAAAAGTCGAAATTTATCACCTCATTTATAACTTTAAAGTTAACAAATATGTGAGATCATGAGACATCTAACGTTTTTAGTTAAGTTAAGTTATTAAGTATATAATAATGAAAATACTCAGGTAATAACCCTTTTATAAAAAGAAAAATAAAAAAATATATTGATGTATGCACAACACATTGAAACTTTCACAAAACTAAACTTCAGGAGAATGAGACGAATGCAGAATATCAGGAGTAGGATAATTAAAAGAAAGAGATAAATAAAGAGAGGTGGAAAGAAAGATAGAAATAAAAATATAAAGCAAAACAAACAGAAAGAAAGAACGAAGGAAAGATCAGTAAGAAAAGAAAGCAAGAAAGAAAAAAGAAATCTCTATTTATTTAATACACATTTTACACACATTTCAAGAAATATACTAACATAAGGGGATTAACTATGCATGAATTAGTCTACGACTGCTTACGCATTAAAATTCAGAAGCAGTAGGTGCACATCATTAATTAATAATAAAAGACAAAAAAAAAAACAAAAAAAATTAATAATAAATTAAAACAAAAATATGACATAAACAATTCTCTCGCCTCCAACTCAACATAATGCTACAAAGGAAGCGCTAGTTTTCAGTTGGAGACTTGTGACTTCACTGACAAATCTGTATATAATCCTCCAATTGTCCTATAACTACGCGTTGCTACGAGTTACAGAATAGTACATGACAATACAAGGGATTTAAGTAACCGATTATTGAACCGTGTGAAGTTAGCGCACGAGAGAAGCGAGTGCACTAACTTCACACATTTTAAAAATCGGTTACTTAAGTTCCGTGTATCGTACATTATTTCATAGTACGAGTGAGTTTCGTTACAAAATTAAAACATCAATCTAAAGATTTAATTAAACGGGACCCAAGGTGCAACGAGACTCTATTTACATAAGTTTTGTATGATCCAGATGTAGGCTTATATGTAAATGATTTATCTAACCTGAATTTACAACGATCTTATTTTTTTAGCACTTGTAATGTTACCATAAATGGTAGTAATGGTTATTATGTTTTTAATTATTGTGCTTTAAGAAATACAGTTCAAACTAAAAATGTACAAGATATTGAAATGACTTTATGTCAAGTATTTTTTTTTTATATTTCTTGTTCAAATGATATAATGTTTTGTTTGTAATTTAAAGTATTACAATAAATGTTACTAATTAAGTTCTGTATTTGTTATTATGTCTCAATAAATGTTTAAATTTGTAAAAAATTATAATATCTTATAAATTTTATGCGTGACTTAAGTAAAACATGAGCGTGACTTAAACGTGGTTCAAGTCAACGTGTACTATAAATATGAACAATTACTTGCTAGCAAGAAATGTTTACGTACATAGTTACTACACACATAAAGCCTTACTAATAAAGATTTACACACGAAGTATACCGGAGTTATAACGCTAATTTTACCAATAAACCACAATTGAGAGTTTAGATGTTTACAACAATCGAGTGTTTATGGCCGGTAATATACATCAGATTTTTTCATCCGACAGTCCGACCCGATTGTCTGAGCAGACTGTCTGAATGCACTCGTCCCATACATTTGTTTGAATACTTAATACACATCCGATCCGATAGTCGGATCGGACGTTCGAGTCGGAAACAGCGCCAAGGCGTTTACGATTTTATTGCCGGTCCGATTGTCTAAAGGTGCGACCTGCATACTTTTGTACAGAGACCAATTAGACGTCCGATTCCTCCTTCCGACTTACCTTGACTTGCACGCTAGAGTGTCATCTGACTCTCTAGAGTAATATTGAACGGACGCATCGCATCGTTGTGGTTCGGACGATGACGGAAAATTACGACATCGAACGGCTTATTATGGCCGTAGAAAAACGTACTTGCTTATGGAATACAGGTAGTGAAGGATATCACGATAGAAAGATGAAAGATTTGGCTTGGGAAAACGTGTGTAACGAAATATTGGAAGAAGCATGGGTTTCAATAGACTTTGAAAAGAGAAAGAAAATATGTAAGTAATTTTATTGCTCGTAATGACGCGAAAACCAAGCCAAATCTACGCTTAACTTATTGTAAGAACACGAGCTCACTTTCACATTTTATGCAAATCATATGTCTAAATAGTTTGCAAGCAGCTCATATAAGTATGTGTGCGTCCAGCAGTTAACTTTTGTTTCAATTTTTCTGAATTTTTCTATAACAATTTTCATACAGTTTATATTTATTAATTTATAAAGATTAAGATAATTAAGAGCGCTAACATAAGCAAATATGCGATAAGTAAGAGTAATTCAACGTACATCTTTTCTTTCTGCTCCGTATGCAAGCAAGCGAGAACGACTGAGTTCAGAAAAAGTCTGGCGCAAGAATCGGATGTCGGTTCTTCGAGCTATATGGCCGGCCCATTGCTACTTCAGCTTACTAATCCGTTGGGCTATGTCGGTCACTCTGGTTCTACTGCAGATATCCTCATTTCTGAGTTTATCACGCAGAGAAACTCCGAGCATAGCCCTCTCCATAGCTCGCTGAGCGACCTTGAGCTTCCTCATCCGGCCAGCAGTGAAGGACTACGTCTCAGTTCCGTATGTCATCACTGGCAACACGCACTGGGTGTACAGTCTCGTTTTCAAGTTTTGAGGTAACCTGACGAGATGTGTCGTAATTTCCCGAACGCTGCTCAACCGAGTTGAATCCGTCGATTGACCTCTCGGTCGAAGTTGGACTTACCTAGTCGGACTATTTGTCCCAGGTAAACATACTCGTCAACAACTTTGAGCTTAGAATGAAGAGAATGAAGAGAACCTCCCGCCCTCCCTCAATTGCGTGCACTATCCCCGTCAACACTAATCCCAGCACCGCTACTTCCAACACCACTACACTAGGCAAGACACACATACATGAAATTAGAATCATAATTCGCATCGTAGTTATCAACTTGCAGCGAGCGTGTCATTGAAGAAGTAAGTAGTAGGCAAAAGTTCCGTACATTGACTTGTACACATACGAGCGCCCGTTGTTATTGGACATAAATCACATTCAATTACGAATATTTTCAAATAAAAGAAGAAACCTTATTTACGCTTATAGGCGTATTTTTAAAAACGGTAAACATTGTATGCCTGTATTTATATTTTGAACTTAATTATTAAATTTGGCTAGTCTTTAAAAAATAACCCTGTATAATTAATAGAATCAGGCGTTACTTTGCGGAAATCCATTATATAAAAGCTTTTAGAAAAATTTACTTCGCAAATATCCGCGTTATAAAATAAAATGACGTGTCTTACCTAGTATGAAGAGCAATTACGTGCACTATCCCCGTCACCACTAATCCCAGCACCGCTACTCCCAACACCACTACACTAGGCAAGACACACCACTGACGACAATACGACACGTGTTTCGCCTCTACACGAGGTATCCTCAGGTGATATAGACTCTACGGTGGCTAACCGTTAAGGGAGCGGCGAGCCAAAACAACTGCTATTTATACAGACCGCTGACGCAACCGCTCTCTACTTAAGGAGCGAGCAACTGCACGCAATTGAGGGAGGGCGGGAGGTGCTCTTCATACTAGGTTGTAAAAAAATATTATTGCATATGCTTTTGTTAGCACAATATTTTTTCCCATAAAAATGTTTTATCAAAACACGTAATTCACTTTTTTCCATTGTTTACAAAAATTTAGAGGTAGCGTCACTTCGAAAGCTATAACTTGAAAATGAATAAACCAAATGCTATGAAGTTTTGACAGGATCTAAGAATTTCTTTAATTTGTGGTGCCATCTCCATGTCAGGCCAAAGACTTTTCAGCCCATGTAAGTAAAGTATTATTATTATTTTAATTTTGATGATTTATTTAATATGATAAATTTCAACCACAAGTGCGACATAAAATTTAAGATAAAAGTTTAATTGTTTAGCAAATAAATGTTATTTTTAGACATGTAGAGCCTAAATAGTAGTGAAATAAATCAAAATAATATTTTCATTCGAGTAAAATTCCTTCAGTTTTTGCAGTCATTTTATCGAACAAAAATTGATTGACTCTCAAAGTGGTACGTAAAATAGACACTAGATGGATTGAAGTTATGAAATTGCTGATTGTTATGAATGGATAAGTACAATATGACAGTTTTAATCATTAGATATGATTAATTTCATTTATTTAATAAATATGTAAATTTTTTATATTGTTAATTGTAACAGTTAAAATTTATACTAACCATCTTTAAAGCACCGCATAAAGTGGAGACTGAGATAATAAGAAACATTGTATTTTTATTAAAAAAAAAATCTTAGCAATGCTATTAACATTACTAATATTCCCTTTAACCACCACTGGTAAGCTAAAAATGCTTGTGTTAGGACTGGTTTACGAACTCTTAGAATAGAAAGAACCCCACCACCTGAAAATGTGACTTCTTCTTTGTTTTCTTCAATCCTTAAAGGACTTGGGCCTTTCCCGTTGTAGGGAGGATTTGTCTTAATCGTCACGCTTGGCAATCGGATTGACGATCGCAGTTCCAGACATCGCCTGTCTCGGTAATTTATATCTGGAGTAAACGAGATAGCTATATTGCACACTATCAGAAGCCATAAGATTTCCTATAGCTTCCCATAGTCGTTTCTTACTTACCGAAATGGGGTAATGTCCTTGAACTTGAAGTGTTCTCCGAACAACGGCCATATTCAGAGACAACCTCGAGTATGGTCTATACTCACATTATGACATTGTGAAATTAGAGTTTAAGTTCAAGATTGTCTTTGAACACCATCCTTTGTCTAAGCTTAATGGGTGCCGCTCGGTAGCACTCGCAGATATACATAGCCTCCTCACGTATCTGAATTACGTCTCGGTGTGGGCTTACTTTAACAAGAAATCTTTAAAACTGACCTTAAGCCGTTCAATCCTTTTAGTCTCTCATATCTTTGGTCAAACATCTTATAATTTACTAATTCTTGCCAATTTTTACGCAGTGAAAAATTTAACAAAATCTTATTTTCTGAAAACAAACATTTATCATTTATCTTTATTTTACTATATTTCGTTTTAATTTATGACAAGGAATTATTATATAAAAATTACCTTGCATGGTATCCTCATGTGCATCTGTACTACAGTAAAATACATCATAAAATGTACCTATAGCTACTAATAATATTAACATTACGAACACTCCTGCTACAATCCAATCATTCACATCTACGTCTATTTGTTCATTATGTTTATCGCAGTAGTATATATTCGATAGTTTTGCTTCTATTTTAAATTCTCTGTGAATGGAATCATTGAGGCATACTTCTAGGATTTCATTTAGGTCCTCATTTATTTCTAATTTTTTATTCACCGCAAACTGTCTACATGTTCTTGTTACACACACTCCTCTTTCGAGATATGTGTAATTATAATGTTTCGGTTTGTGTGCTGAATACTCCTGAGAAAAAATCAAAGTAAATACAATAAAAATATAATCAAATTTAAACGCTCTATTCAATGTGTTATTAAATTAATTTCAGCCGCCAAGCTTCACAGTCCCACTCTGCGAAAAAATTCACAATTCCATCCACACCGTCTGGATGGTTAGCAGTACACAAATATGTCATTTCCTAGAAGTTTTCAAGCTCACATTTTTGCGTAATCTGCAATCGATAACGACTTTTCCTTACTCCTTCATTATAGGCCCCTAATACACCCTACGATTTCTCCGGTGTTATGGATGTTCATGCGGCAGCGATCAATTGCCATCAAGTGAACCACATACCCGTAACCAGAAGCTTGCAAGTCACGCAACCAACCGCACCACCTATATCTCGCGTCATCGCTCCCGCCGTGGTGTTGTTTAGATATGAAACTATACAAAAATATAGTAAAATATGTAGACATTTGCTATAATGCTATATTTCGCGATAATCTGTGAAGTTTATATGTGGAGAATGGCAAATTAGCAAAACTCCAGGTGTGTGCACATGCATTCCTTCACATCCTTCCCGTAGCCCGAATTTAGGGGCATTTGCATTATCGTAAAATAGTAAATTTCGACCGCCGAAAAAACATTGTACTACGTGACCAAAACCATTAGACGCATGACAGCTAAGACGTCATTAGAACTAGGGAGGGAACACCGACACGTTGATGGGTCATTAGGGAAAGCGTAGGGATAGAGGCAAGGTGCGAGCGCCGAAACCGCATTCCTGTCATGCGCCTAAAGTGCGTCCAACGAAAAATGAGATCTCGACGTCTGTCAGTTGTTCATGATTAGTGATGAGAAATAATTAATACTAATATTTACTTTTTAACTGACCCAATAACAAAGTAACCTTAGTTTCATTACCTACTCGTTTGACTGGACTCTTATTTCTGAATGTAACTAAAGTAATAAACAAAATAAAATTGTGATAATAATATTCAGAATTATTTACTAAAAATATAGCAATAACTTGAAAAAGTGTTGCGACTGGCAAACAAACAAATTTAATTTGATTCCGATTCGCATGAGAAGAACTGTCTTCGTCATCATCTTCGCCTATTATGTTATTATCAATGATAGTGTCAATTTTGATATATCTGTAAAATTTTTCGAAAATAAGATTTTTCGTTTTTTTCGACGACCTTCGCCCAGTCATCTTTTGTGACTTTCTCGCAGGCTTGTTTTAATAGGCTCATCATCTTTTTTGTGCCGAATGGCGGAGAAGTGTTAAACGAAACAGATTAACTGAATCGCATTGTACTGGCAATGATAGGGAGGGATTCTAAGAACACGATGACTGTATTCCAGAGCGGATTCGTCTATTTCATAATGCACATTTGTCTTTAACTAATTTGATAAGTTCTGTTTTGAGCGTTTGCGTATTTGCGTCAATGCCGTTTGTTTGTAGCCAAGCCACCAATTCTTCTTTTCTATTGTCTCGAGTAAGTGCTTTCTGTTCTTGCTCCGAACGATAATGGCCATTTTCCATTAATATTACAGAAGCTTTTTTATCTGTTCTTTTTTTAAAAACGTTACCTCCACCCTAGGATTTTCTCTTGTATCGTGGACGCAGTTTACAAACACAAATTTCGCAAGGACAAACATCCAGACCCATAACAATTATTTGTAGGCCATACAAATACTTGTTCCGTGCGGGATTCGAACCCGCGCCCCCGCCAGTGCAGCAACTCATTGCTAAGCCACTGCGCCACAGAGGCATCGCTAGAAGGCTATGGGCAGGCCGGGCAATAGCATTCTGGAAGCACTCTTTAAACGTGGCGGCATTCATTTCTTAGTGGTAGTCAGTAGTGGTTTGGGATTCAAAAGTAGTTCTCCATGAAACCGTATTTTACAAAACCGCCATGGCATATTATAAGCCGGGCCCCTTTACTCATTGGTGCTTTTGACTTCGACGCTTGTGTATCATCTGTCCAAGAACAGTAAATCATGTTTTTGGCGTTTAGCCATCTCTCGTCAATGAAAACGACGTTATCCCAGTTATCGATTGTTTCGCTTCATTTAAAAATATTATTCCTTTTAAAATTATATCATTACGTTCTAAAATAACTATTCTTTTGAATGTTTTTTGATATTAAAAACTAATATCTTTTAAAATTTTTGATAAATTAGTTTTACCTCCCTTAAATAAATCAGTTGCTTACAAAGATGCCAAAAGCTTGGTCCTGTTATTGTATTCATTCCTCAAATAATAACCCTATATATGATTCATTATTGCATCGGCATCAATAGGTAGGTATCAGGTAGGTATCAATATCTGTCACAGGTTTTGTTCTGCCATTTTTCTTCGGAGTTCATAAAATATTTTTTCCATGCCAGTCGAGCCGAACTTTTCTTTATCAATATTTGTTATTGTTCGTTTGCTAACTCTAAGCGCCTGAGAAAAGCGATCTTGTACCCGTTCGATAGGTACCAAGAGTCCACCATTTTGCCTTTCACGCTCAATGTAATCTTGAAGCTTGATGATTAGCTCACGGGTTTCACTTTTCAATGTTTATCCATGTTTCGGCAATATTATGCACCAAACAATGTAGATCACAGCACAATCGAAGTCCAATTTAGCGCCAATGTAAGAATCGCAAGAAAAAATAGAATGAGAAACACAGGAGAACGTAGTCTATGTGCGCGAATCAACAACAGACAACAGCCTCACAAAATGGCGGTCCAACACACCATTCGAGGTTGCCATTTTTCACTATAAATAGACAAAACTTTAACTTTTACTTTTGTTTTCAAATAAGTAGGTGTTCGCGCCAAACGCCTATGTCAAGAATCGACGCCAGGGGCGCGCAGAGTGGTGATTTCCTACGGTTTGACGTACGCGCGAGACCGGATTGGTTGCTTGTGGGGCGGGTCGGAAGTGATTGAATGCAGTGCAGTCACTAGCACGTCGTGAGGTCGTCCCGTATAACCTCTATTAGTGTCGGTTTGTTAGCAAATTTATGCAACGACGAGGAATTTGTGGAGTCTAGAAAAATAGACGCCGGGTCGATTAATTGTTTGGAAGTTAATGTTTAACTGTACCGTCGCGTTAAGTGCCTTTTGTGTGTTGTCTATGTAGTTTTTTTGCGTGCCAGCTAGGCTGACTTTGAATCTTAATGCGGGCGTAGTAGTTAATGTCGTAAGAAGGAATTTAGTTTGTCGGTTGTAACGCTGAACTTTGTGACTCAAGAAGAGACCGCGTTCTGGTTAGTAGTTATAATCTTGTTGCTACGTGAAACGGAAGTGACCTTTGATCCACCGTTCATTAGTCGTGCCGTGTGTTACGTTTCTGATTACGATTAACGGGGATTTAGTTGAGTTGAAGTTAATTAAATGGACAATAAAGTTGATGGATTGAAATAGAGTACAATAAAGTTGATAGACTGAAATAGTGAAATGAACGTATCAACAGCGGATTGCGACGTATCAACAGCGGATTGCGACGTATCAACAACGGTGTCTTTTGGCAGCGTCCATAAACAAGCGGCATGAGGTACGCGGCGTTCTTCAAAAGCAACGGCGCAAGTGGGTGCACGCCTTTGTCGTAGAGCAGGACACCTGTTATCGACCATTAGCTTCTTTCAAAGGGAGTAATAATCGATAAACAAAAAAAATGTTCAGCTTTAAACACTTAGGGCATGGTTTTTTAAGAATTATCGTGTTGCTATGATAATTTTCATTACGTATTCATTTATCGCCAAAGTGGACGTGCGTTACGTTAGTGTACGAAATATATAAAGTAATGTTCACAACTATACTGCTTCGCTTGAGTGCTCTAGAGATCTAATTCCCGCGAGAAGTATCATTCAAATCCCGCGTCCCGCACCTAGGCCTTGAGGGCAAAGAACAATAGTCATATATTTTTCTCTCTCCGCACTACCATCATTGAACATCGTGAATTTCCGCTGCTTAGAAACTTCTAGCAATAACAGTGTCGACGATCGCTATCTTCACGAAGCCTACCAGCACATATCTTCATTATTTCACCGGCGCCACTGATAAAAACATCACAATGTCCAATATATGTAACGAATGCAAGAAACATGCGAAACAATCGGAGAGGATTATATGCACTTGCTCCATTTGTGCCCGGCCTTATCACTACCAATGTGTAAGTCTGAACTCTGATTTTAAGAAAATAGTGTGCTGGACATGACTAATATGTGTCAACAAGCAGCCAAGGACAGGAGATAATTCTAACACCCCTGTAAAATGCCACAGCGAGGAGTCTCCTGTTGATAACTACAACTATACTTTAAATGTAACTACGAGGAAAACAGACTCATCTAAAGGAGGACAAATGCAGGATCACTCCCTAGAAGCTCGGTCAGATTTTTTAAATTCTCTCAAGGAAGAGCTTCCACTTCTTTTGAAAGATGCTGTTAAAAGCGAATTAAGTACCTTAAAAAACCAGATATCCACAATAGAAACCACGTTAAACTTCATAAGTACGCAATACGATGATCTCTTAAAAAGTATACTTACCACCTTTGCCGAAATGAAGTGTTTAAAGGACAAAAATACCCGTCTTCGTAAAGATGTTGACAGCAATTCGTTCCATATACATCGCGTAGAAGAGGAAATATCTCGCATGCAGCAGTGGATTTGACTGCAAAATATCGAAATTGTCGGCGTTCCTAAATGCAAGGAAGAAGATTCTGTTGATATTATTTTAAAGGTTGCCAACGAAGTGAGTGCAGATCGGGTGCAACCACGGCGGCCAAGTAGCACAGCCATCAGCCGTACCATCATCGCCCGTCTCTGTCACTGACATACTAAGGACTTGATTATTGCCGCCTCACGTAAGCGCCGTGGTATAAAACTCTCAGATATAGGTATGATCATTATGACTGACAAAACTAAAAACGTAAACAACGTATATTTATATTAATGAACACTTAACCAAATATAACCGCACATTACTTAAGGAATGTAAGCAAAAGCCCAAAGAAGCTAACTTTGTCTGG